ACTGAGAGGGCAAGGTGAAGGGGTAATTGGGGTGTGATCAACCGTTTATGTTTGAGTAAAGTGAAGCACTTCATATCAGAACGAAACAAAGGGCGCTGCACTTTCAGCTGTGTTTAAGTACTGAGTTATCTGCTCCTTTCACTCAGAGTCACGACCAAGTACGAACGGCCCAATTTAGCAGAAGTATGCAAACGTTCAGCCGGGGCTGGACAGGCGTTTACAGACTTCTCCATGGAGAAACAATCTGTCATGGGGGGGGGAAGACTTTGCTTCAAAAGTGGAGAAGTGTAGACAAATTCCAAAATTCCTTCCACTTCACAAGGAGGGGAGGTGGGGAGGGCATTGGAATTCCGTCCACACACTCCGTTGTCTCCATACCTCCCAGTCCCTCTTTCTCACTTCAAGTTCCAAATCCCATTTCTGACCCTCACACATTAACACGCGATCGTAATACTCCTTGATGATATTCTTGAGTAGATCTAAAAGAACAAATATATTCAAGTGAAGTACACATTTAGTGCACATTCTGATTCACTTTGCTCTGTGATAACATGGCACAACTGTTTGTGTTTGTGGTGCGTCATCTGATGTCGCTGGACGTATGTTTCATAACGGAACTGGCAAGTTGTTTAATTCTGTTAAACATTTATAAATATTCTTTAATAACTTGTCATTCCTGAAAACTCTGTTCTCTGCTGGATCGGACTCGAACGGTGTCCGTGAGGGACGGACGCTCAGCGTCGGAAACAGAATGTACACTCATGAAATTAACAATTAGAACGCCAAAATCTCAATAACAAATGACTTACGTCAGATCCTGGAAGTAAGCTGGAAAAGGATTTATGGGTAAACAAGGAAAGTGAATAAGATTACCATGCAATACAGTTATACCAAGAAGATTGGGGACATTAAAAAATAAAACAAAACTATAAAATTAGAGCAGTGAAAAACATTGATTGGATGGAATTAAACACTCGCACAAAATAGCCCTTTGCTTTACCTCAAATTCTTTCATTTTACTTATTCTCTCTAGTTCCCATTTATCACCCTCTAATATGTAAATTTTGTTCCAATATTGCTTGCAAATTGTTTGAAGTTCGGCTAAAACAGAGAGAAAAAGATGAAGAAGCAAGAAGCACAAGAATCAAATTCTCTTGTTAGTCAAAGTGAGATTCAGCCGCTGGCTCAGTCTCTCATGCATCAGAGTGGTCTTAAAGTTCGTGGCCCGGCCCGTCACCGGACTTCAATTCAAAAATTCTTTTCAGATTATCATTCGGTGAACAGTAAAAATATCAAGTATTGTTCGACGAATCAGCCGCACACTTTAACGTGTGAGAAAGAGCCAGTGGTAACCTCACTGCTACAAGCGAGAAAAATCCCTTCCTCAGCAAAAAACTTCTTTTCAGAACTGGAGAACACCCGAAGACATTGTCGGTTAGTTGTGGAAGTTCAGCCACATTGTTAATAAACTGCTATTGAAGAAACAAAGAAACATCAACATCAACATCAATCGATAAGTGTGTTTTAAGAAGCACTACAACAGTTGCACATAATAAAAGCAATTATACAAGAAAGTAATATACAGCATAAATTCACCAATAAATTACAGTTTATGTAAGCTTAGAGAGTGGTTGACGGTTCAGATGAGGATGGCGACAGACGAAATCGGAAGTTTGTTAACTTAAGGAAGTTATTCAGGACATTTGAAACCACCCTGATACCATCAAGTCTTGGTTTCATTTTACTGCCAAAAAGCGTTATGAAATACGTATCTTATCTTCTGCGTCGAGAAGAAACAGACATAAAGATGCCCTTCTCATATTTAATTTTCATAAAAAATATGTTTAATTACTTTAAACATTTTAATGAAAGAAATGTCATTTGGACTTAAATTCATATCAGATTTGACATACTTGTATCGTAATTTTTTTCCAAGTAATGTATTTGTATTTAAAGTGAAATTGGTGGTTTTAGAAGCATAATTAAACTTTCTCTTTATATTAGAAGTAGTGGCCTACAACGACACATTTCAAGACCACAGATATCCTTTTAGGAAAGGCAAATAACCTAATTTTTAATCTTAATTTTGGAGTTTAGTGCTTTTATAAGTTGTGTATCTTAAAAGGCACAGTTGCTTATAACCTTGTAGAACTATAACGGGAAATGTATTTTTCTTTCGACAAAATACGAGGAATGTAAATCACAAATTCAGTACCAAATCGCGTGCAAACAGGGCGGTTTAGGCAGCTTAACGAAACAGAAATGTCGACACAAGTTGAAGAAAATTCGACTAACATGTCGAGGAATATGTATCAGGAAGGAATCGATTCCTGAAGCACAAGAAGATTACGAGGCACCAAACACTTTAAAATGAAAGCAGTTGCGAGGTTAGGAACAGAGCGAAGCAACACGAAGAAGGGACATCCTAGCCGTCGTCATTATACGCCATTCGTGTTTGTGTGAAAATAGCTCGTGTTATGTTTTACGCTTTCAGGCCCAGATTGCATGTAATAAGCGATCTTTTTAATATTGCAATGCTCTTGTGAATTTTAGTTTTTTTTTAAAAAAAATTGATGGATTAAATTAACGAAAAGGAAAACAATGCGAATCTTTTCTTAATTTAAATCCATAAAAATGTTTCCCATAGAATCCTGCCAAATCAGCCAATGCCTTGCGTTATGATGTCTGATTTGGATTCTACGCATGCGTAGCCTCTCATTCCGTAAACCTGCCACAGAGATCAAGTGTCCCTACTCTGCAGTAAGATTCTGAACTAAAATGAATTTCAGTTTGAAACAATTCTAAAGCCCCTAGTGTTATGAATTCTCTAACATTCAACAAATGCATCATTTCTTCTGATATCACTTGAGAAGTGTACATATATTTTACTTACAAAATATTGTGGGCCTGTTTTTTTTTTGGAACTTATCTTGATAATAAGACATGTCAATGTTTAGTGTTGATTTGACTATTTTAATATTGTCTCCATCTGCACCGATGTTTTAAAATCGCTTTCACAGGTGCGTTCGAATCGCCTTGATCTCTGAGGGCATGTTGTAGGCTGAGGGCCTTACAGAATCGCACCTCCATGTTCTTTTTGGCCACTTCGTATTCGAGGTCGTATTTCTGTTCCTCTAGGGTTGAGATGCGCTTGTGGTACGCATTGATGACGGACTTGAGGTTTGCTGGTGGACAGGAAACAGGCAAATGCAGTCACATATGCCGATGGGTGCCACACATAGAAGGAGTTCTACTTGTGTACAGAGTTTCTGGCAAAGCGTACTATTTCTACTTGTATGTACAATTACAATTCACTTGTTTCCTCTAATTTGCACACAGCAGCATTTCGTAGACATTCATTTGTCTTCAAACATGTCCGAACCGTTCAGTTTTGTCAATAGAAGAAATACGAATACAGTCAATAAGATTTGTTAATTTATACGACAAAGGCAGATAATTACACTCTACTTTAAACAGTATCAATACTCAGTTTTGGGAAAACGCCATTTTATTATCATATGCAACCAAAGTGAAATCCGAATTTAAGTTTCCGAAGGTTGTACCTGGAGTACAGACCTCTAACGGCAATAAGTGGAATCTGAATCTCTGGCTATGGGTACGACTTTATGGCATTCTGTCTTAAGTAGCATGGGACTTGCTTGAGTGACGTAATAGTATTTGTGCAGAACATAAGATCGCGAAACATGTAGCCGAAGTTGTACTTTTAGCTTAATTTCTTTAACTTCCCGTTAGCATGGGTTGCGACTTCCAGTCAGAGATCCTAAGCACACAAATGACGACACAAAACATGACAACAAGTTTTGAAGCCTAAGCTGCAACACAGACATTCGAATCTAGTGGAATCGCTGTATAACTAGAAAGAAATGAAGAAAGTACATTTATTAAGGACAAAGAGCTAACACGCAAAGGAGTTATTTGAATGCAAACCCACAGTGTTAAAATATCTGAGTCCTTCATCTGAAAACGAAACAGAAAGACGTAAAAAATTTGCAAGAAAAACGTAAGAAGTCTGTTAGGGACTGGTCTCTTTCCACAAAGAGTACAATGTTAAAAAACATAAAGAAAAGTGTTTTCAAGTTCATGATTTCTTTTAAGTTTTCAATAAAAGTAGCTTGCTTTGTGGTTGTGTTTGTCTTTAAGAGCTAAAAGACAGTAGTGGTTAAGAAACAAATCTACGAAGATTCCAGCGAAGGAATCAGACCTTTCTAGCAAGAGCTTAAAGTGTTATTTAGAGAAGACTTTCTCCCGAGTCACTCTTACACCGAACTTAAAATTATTCAAAACTTACTCATTTTTTTACATTTTCTAATATTTCCCGTGTACATTCAATCATGATATTTTATTCTGCTATTCTACTTTTAGTTCTGTGATATTCCAATTGTTATAAGATTAATTATTTCAAGAGAAGGCTTTCCTGTGGGTGAATTTTTAAAAATAAATTATCAGATTTCCCGTCTACCACCCCCAAGGATGCACTGTATATTCCTTTGAAGTACATTTGTATCACATTTAGAGAAAATAATATTTTCCGAATTATAAACTTGAAATATCTTTCGTAAAACCTAAAGCAAAAACAAAAGACAGTCTCTCACCTACTGAACCCAGGACGACCGAAGTGCCTGCCTGTTTTTTCATCGTTTAGGACAAAGCAGCCAGAGCGTGATGCTGACCGCTCATCTCCGTCTAACGCCGAAGTTAAAAATGTGCACAAATAAGGTAAAGTGAAGAGGCTCCAAGAACGACACAAGCCACACCGCCTTCTTTAATTTGATGCTGACCGCTCATCTCCGTCTAACCCTGGCACAAATAGGCTCCAAGAACGACACAAACCACACCGCCTTCGAATTACTTCAATTTCTTTTGTGATATCACGACTCAGAACAAGAAACATGAACTTGAAAGAGAAGCCTGCACATATATTACTAGAATAAATGTATCCGGAGCGAAAGAACTCGTCAACCTAAGCAGCAAAATTCTACCTCGAAATCTTTCTTTTTAACTGCGTATTCCAGGTCGAACTTGACGTCCTCCAAAGAGCTGATTCTCTCGTGGTAGTCCATGAGCACGCACTTAATTGTATCTGCGACGGACACACACACACATAGACACATCATTAAAAACCCAATACACTCAAGCTATGGAAGTGAAATGAATTGGAAATCAACTATTCTACCTAAGGTTGGCAGAAACTTACAAATTAAGGAAAAACAATAAATATAAAAAAGACAATACATAATTAAAATGAGTAACCCATTTTGTGTTAATCGTATGACGAACATTGCATCGCACACACTGAATACTAAAGACGTTCAGTACTTTCAACCTGTCAAGTATCCTTACGAAAATAAATGTATTTTCAATTTCTTTGTCCTTTAACAGTTTGTGATGGTATTACTGAAAATTTAACCCACGTGTTTTTTTAAGTGGAAAATTAATGAAAATGCGAGTATAAGCTAAGAAATCACCAAAAACAAAATAATTTATTAGAGTGAGGAGCAACTGTTTACTTATAAAGTTGTACTTAGCATTAAACATCACTTATAAATTACAAATATTGGTGATGAACCGAATAAAATTCCTAACCTCACTTTCACATGAACCACAGGCCTGATTCAAAGTTTCAGAGGACCGAAATTCTGAGAGTCCGGCAATACGTAAGCTGTTACATCTACCAATAACCTTCGCTGAATGAAATCAAGAAGTTTATGAAACCGAAATGACCAGCAATAACTGGGTCAATATGCATTGTAATTAGACGATTACCTTCCTGGGCAACTGTAAAAAGGAATTATATGATGTACGGGGAAATCCTTTGTAAAAATCACCCTAGTAAAAGAACCGGATTTGCGTCTTTCACCCCTTTAACAGCTCTCAAACTGCACGCAACTCGCGGTCTGTTTCTGTCACTTAGTTGTTCCTGTATTAATTGTGTCGTATTGTTTTCTGGAAATTTATTATTTGCATTTCCGTTAATATTGCTCTGGAAACAAAATGTAAAATAATAATAAAACAAAGAAAAGCTCCAAGGTTATGACACTAGATGAGAAAATAAATATTCTAGATATATTACGAGGTGGTATTAGCACAGCAATACTTGGCATACCACATCGTTGATACTTCATTTTAATGCTTAACTTTCCGATGATATATCATATTACACAGTTATTGAAAATAAATATCATTAAGTATATTAATTTTTATTGTATCTTTGCTTCGAATTTCCACGGATGCGTTCCTTAATCTTTTATAATATGAAGTTACTTCAACGCGGATTCACCGAACTCGAATTTCAGACCGCCTTATAAATGTAAACCTCATTCAAATAAAAACTGTAAGAGTCAACAGACCGAAAGACCTACTTAAAGACTGATCCTGTTTACGAGGCGCATTTGTATAGCGGATCCATAATTAATGTTACAGGAATGTATTTCGTTTAACTGCACATCCTAAGAGGCATTTGATATTTTAAAATTAACTTTATATTTCATTACATCTTTCCTTTTCTGGGTCACCCTCTGCGTCTCAATTGCTGGATAGTATCAAAATTACAATAGAAGAATGTTCTGTCTTCCAGTGCTGACAGGAGCTGAAAACAGAGCTAGTTAGAACTGTCTTACGCCCACTGCTTCCATGTTTACTGCTAGCAGAAGAAATGGAACTCGTCTCGTGTTAAATATTTTAACACAATAATAATATAAACACTAAGCGCATTACCAAATATGATGCAAATACTTTAATTAATTCTAGCTTTACCTGGTTCATAAACTACTCTAGAGATACATAAAACATGTCGTCTGTAAGCATGAAAAAAAAGTATTAGCTTTTTAGCTCTAGTACAGTTTGCAAGCTAGGAAAATAAACCCAGAGCGGTTTGACGTTGTCACGTTAACTACAGTACTACGCATGCGTGAGTCTGATGTTATGAAACATCTATGAACATAACATCAGTCTGAGTTGCTTGACAGTGGCGGAAAAGAAAGTTGATGGCTGTAAAATTACTTGTAGCAAACAATCCCAAAACAACATCGCTCTGATTTATTGTCCTGTCTTCGTTATATGTTTTACAAAATAATTTGTAATCACGAGCCCTAAGTTTAGTGTGTGCTCACCTTCATTTGCATCGTCGACTTTCTTTGGTTTACCGCAGCGTTCATCAATGATCCTCTTCCTCTCGGCTGCTTTCCTCTCCTGCTCCTTCTTCAACTCTTCAGCGGCCTTCTTTCTCAGCAATAACTGCACAGGATATCAAAAATTTAGCTCATCTGCCTTTCAAACTGCCTGAGGTAACTGACACGAACGAAGGCGGGTGGCGAGCACAGAGTGAGCAAGACGCAGATACTAAATATGCAATGTTGCAAAAGCCAGTAATTTTTTGCACATTTCAATTGCTTGTTCCGTCAGCCTTAGCTTACGTTCTTGCGCTTTGGCGACATTGTAAACTGGCATGTCGGCGTCTGTTTCACGCTTGAATTTACTGAATACTTTTACACAAGCTCCCTGGTCAGTGTGTAGAATCTGTTGCCTGAGATTTTCACTTTCCATGATTTTATGTACTAGTTGTTTATCTGATGCAGAAAACCAACAATTTGCTTTCAGTTAATAACACGTCAATCATACAATATACCACAAAAACAATGTCTACTTATAACACGAACAACACTACAACTCAAGTGAGCGTTTAGCATGTGACTGCAGCCGAATGACTCATGGGAACACGTACTAGGGGATGCGCAGAAGCGACCAAAACTCAGCCGCCATCGTTCGTATCGCGCAATGGAAACAAGGAACAAATCAGTTCGAAACAAGAGAGTTACACTGAGCGTCTATAAAAATGAGTTATAAATGTTAGAATCTTGCCTGCAAAATTTGACTAGAATGTATACTTATGTCTTAGAAACTGGTGACAGGTGAAACAATTCTATTGACTTACCCTGAGTTTTTTCTTCCTCTCTGGGGTCATGAAACCCTTCTTGGCCTTCTTGGCTTTGGCCGTCTCCTCCAGGCGCTTGCGCACCTCAGCGCGTTTGCGCTCGATCTCGGCCTGCTTCAACTTTTTCGCCTGAAACACAAATATGGACTCGTAGCGTAACATAACCTACAAGTCTCAGGAATTAATAAGAATGCTTCGTGATGCGAACAAGCAAGGCGTGTTCATGCGCGTGATAATTTTACGTCATAAACACGAATAATAAATTTATATTAAATTGAATGCTGGAGAATTTTACAAACGATTTCGAGCAACTTCAATTTTAATTTAAATCGGACAATTTTAAGTATCACTTTACATAAGAGCATGAGTGAGTTCAGCAGCGTTTGTCACTTGAGTTAACAAAGGCTGTTCGACACACTGAAATACGTGTATTGTTCTATTAAATACCACACGGTATGAAAGGATATACGTCTGTTATTTAATGTTTATAAATCACGAATTGGACGTCAGTAAAACGAATTACTAACTTCTTTACTTTACTTTCTCTCAGAATATCCTTATGACTTTTGTACAGTATTACTATGTTATATTATAAGTAAGCCTAAATATCTTAAAATTAAAACATTATTTATATCATTCGTGTGAGGCAACTTTTTTCATTTTATTTTAATAGAACCTTCGCGGCGTTAATTTACACGGTCTAGCAGAATATTCAGATTACTTTCGAGGTCAGATAACAAAATAAAACAAAAAATAACTACTTACCTATGTTTGTCTTGGTTTGTAAGTTAGTATAAGAGTGCAAACACTATTTTTCAAAATAAGTTAAATATACAGAATTTTCTTATGACCACCAATAGTAGATATTCCTGAACGTTATCATATCTGTCAACATTTCTCATGGTGCTTTGGTCTAAGAAACCTTCTTATGCCAAGGTATTTCGATGATGAACAATTTCTATCATTTGAAACATGTGAGTTGTTAGCTTTAACTATTTATAGATGACATTAAACGTTTTCTTCACTTTTATTATCAAATGATGGAAAAAATCACATCAGAAAAATCAGTGCTTCTGAGAGACGTACCTTTTGCATGACATGAAATCAGTCAACAAAGGGAAGGGCTGATCTATAACAGAGCAAATTAAACGATAGGGAATCGTGAGATTGACACAACTGGTAATTAAAAATCACGTGAATATAATTATATTTCCGTTTGTCAGATGTAGAAGAAAACAGGGAGGGACACAACCATTACATTCACCACATGGTTTATAATCCTCGAAATGGAAACACATAGTAAACACATTATATGTGCGTTGAGTGGATGCAGAAAATGTTTGAAATTTTTTTTTAATTAAATCAAAGATAATGCTGGTATGTATCCTTAATAAAAGTTTGTAGTTTCTAGATAACAAATTATCAATCAATTGCATCACAGAAATGGGCCAACCGATCGAATGTTTGTGCTCCCTGATTTCAATAATCATCTCTATATAAATACACGAAGAAACTTCATTATTATATTTCGGAAGAATGAGACTCAAAGTACATGTCGTGATAAAGAAATATGTTCATAACTCTAAAGGCGTTCGCCTATCATAACGTTCACGATATGCGTATCCTATAGGTGGCCATTTTGATTTTTGTGCGAGACTGTTCTATTTGTCGCCTTATAAATTAGTGTTTCTCTGTGGTTAAGTAAAGGTTCTTCTCTTCTGGTTTGGTTAGTTTCAGACGTGGTGCATGCTGGTACATTACGTGCCTCCTCGATGCGAATTCTCTGTAACAGAAACAGAAAAGTACAAATTAGAAGTGTACCACGGTTCAGTCTGTGAATAAGTTACGTTGCAAATGCAACTATTCGGACAGCTTAAAGTTTGTCCTAACTCCATAATGAACTGATGTAAAACAGAAAGCCTCACTGATCATTTTTAGTGGAGTTCGGGAGCAGACGGTCAGAAGGCGGAGGGTAAAGGATCACAGCGTGAAGGCGAAGACAAGGAAGAAATCTTCACGTATTATAAGACTCGGCACTAGATGGAGGTGAGTGGTCAACATCATGTTACAGCCACTCCCAATGGCGTTTGTTAAAACGCCATTGGGTGGACATCAAAACATATCTGGATGCAGCGTTGGCAGTTAAACTTTAGGATACACTAAAGCGAGTAGAGTAATTGAAAACAAAATAATATTACAACCTCAGTTCAAATTGGGATGCCTAAGGAAAAGAAAGATTGATCAGTGAAGCCGTAACTGCATTTGTTACAAATTTGTAAAAATATTCAGTATATTACATGCTGTCCACTTATTTACAGATTACGCCTTTGTCTGTGAGCTCTGAAAGTTCCATGAATTTGAAATTTAAATCTCAACTTAATATATGTGAACTTACACTCCGATTTCACAGATTTTATTTAACGAAAAATATCCAAGAACACACACATATGTATATATGTACAAATGCCTTGCCAATTTATGTGGCTTCGCAAAATGTTAATTTATATTAGGAAACTGAACATAGAACAACATAAAAATATGTACAACAGTTTAAAAACATTGTCGTGGCTGCAAAATAAAAATAAATCACGTCCAAAGTAATGCACAAGTTAAATGAAGCGCAATATGAGGTTTCATTTAAGGGGCAACCAAAAATAATTCATCCAATTAAAAACAATCGTCTCACATATAAACACACTATAGATTACAAAAATCAATAAACCCGGGTTCTAAAATGTGAAATATTAGTTATCTCCTGGCAATGTTGGGGGTTGAATATTTGATACCTTTGTGAATTTTTGAATACTTTTCTGGATGTCCCAATTTAGACTGAACTAGAAATATTCCGGGTCAGAAACCGATTTGGAGATTCATATTTCGTCTGTTTTTGAGTGATTTTTTTGCAATTTTATGGAAATTCAAATCTCCCAATTCCCAGTGTGCTAGAAGTAACATTGTATATACTACTGAGATTAATAAATAAACTTAAATAATTGAATGAATGTACAAATGAATTATTTTATTGTTATTATTATTATTAAAAATTTAAATAAGTACCTGTTTTCTCTAAAATTTAATCAGTTCCAACGACAAGGCCCTGATAGTGACAGAATTCGGGGGCATTTTAACAAGTGGTGCTGTTTTTTGAGTGTGTAAAACGAGAGATTTATTTTTAATTGGCTTGGAAAACAGCTTAGTACATAAAATGTATATAATTTTACTGTAACATTGCTCACTGATTAAAAGGCAAAAGAATTAAAATTGAACGCATTTGATATTATATGATCAAGTTTTTATGAATTTCATTTCACAGATGTTTAATGAGGCACTACGAATGGCTCAGCAAATATTATATCTATATTCAGTTTTAATCTAAAAGTGTTAAACAAGTCAATGGTAACCAATGGCACCTTGATGTACCGTAACGTACCCCCAAACAAAAATCAAATACTGCAAGGTCAGGCGAACGAGGTGGCCAAGTGATAGGCCCGTCCCTACCAATCGAGTTATATGGAAACTTTTGATTTTAGAAGTTCGTCTCTTCCTTATAGAAATGTGGAGGCATTCCGTCTTGTTTGAACAGCAAGTTTTTAGGATCATCTTCTTCCCAAATAGACATGAGGTATGCCTCCAGCAAGTCTAGATACACTATACTAGTCACAGAACATTGAGAATCAATTTTAACAGTTGTAAGTGTAGTGATTCAGATGGAAATATTTGGAAACTAAAGTGGCAATAATCAAAACCTTATTCGCATTATCTACTCAAATTCGTTTAGTTTTAATTAAACTGTCTTTTGGTTCATGAGCAATGTTTTAGTGCATTATAAATTTCATGTGCACATTCTGTACAAAAATAATCAAATGCTGACAGACGAAACTCATGTTATTGTTACATGTGAACAAAAAACAAAACAAAGTAAAAATGTTGCTAACTTGTGCAAAGAAAAAGCTAGAAACAAGAAAGTAACACAAAATATTATATAATTTCATCCTGGAAGAACATGGCCGAGCGAATGCATTTGATGCAGACATGATAGTTAAATGTTTAACACACAGGGCAAATTGTAACAGCGACACATAGAGGCAACATGACATGGAGCAGCTGTCCTTACATTTGCACCTCTCCAGATTTCTCTTCTCGCTGGTGTCCTCTGCTCACGCGGAATCGAGTGAGGCACTTCTTAGAACATTATTCCGTTTTTGTTTTTGAGTAAACAGATATCCAGTTATTAGATAAAGCTTATTTGAAGTAGCTGAAACGTGCGTTACAATAACGAAATAAACAGAATTTGCAAGCTCGCATTAAAATTCGGTTATTGGCAGCATACTTCAAGTGAAGTGTCTCTATAATGCAGAAGTGAAGTTACATAGCCGAAGAGCTGTTACGTTTTGTGTGATAATTTTTCCACGATTCCGCCGTTGTGAGGACCCAAGATGCCAGCCGAGCCGCTGCCCCGTTGTACAAACCTGTTTTGCGGGTGGACGTTGATAGGGATCAACAGACAACACGTGTTGTTTGCAACAAGTGGAATTCAACCTGAGAGAATTGCAATTTCACGTGAAGCATTTCGGTGTTTCAGAACGAATTACCCGACTATGACTTTTATTTTAGTAGAAATTTTCAAGTAAATGTCACATTATCCACTCATTTAAGTATGGTTTCATCATTTTACGAAAGATATTAAGCATATTTTAAGTTTCTTGAGCAACTTCCCTCAAGTTTCACACACTTTTCCAGTATTAAATAGCAAGAGATCATTAACTAAAATACAGATACATTTATTTTCTAAATAAAACGTATCGCTTCTCTGGAGTCATCACAGCATCTTAAGCCAGATCCTAATAAGATCGTAAGTACAGGGTACAGCACCTGGTAGATTATGGAATTAAGTGATTTATTATTGTTGTTTAATATTTAATATTACTTTATCTTTCTTTTATCAATAAATGTTGTAACTAAAATTTATCGTAATTACTCTCGAATTAAATTAAATTATATTCAAATTGCTATGTACTTCACGTGATGTAGTGAATTTCGTGAACTAAAATTCTAGGTATGTTCCGAATGTAACGCAACACGTGATATCTGTTAGGGCGACAGACTGTTCCGGGGATTCTTAGGTACTGTAAAGGGTCGAGAGGACAGGGGGGCGAGAGAAAGAGAAATCAGCAACCAGGGCTACGACACACGTTACAATCAGCTGATATTCTTCAGGCTGGAGAAATAATCAGTTATTTGATTTATGTATTCTTAACATCTACTTGTTTGACTATAAGACTGATATATTTTATACTTAACCTCACATTTATAGAAGTAAATGAATACAAACATATGCAAATAAAATTATAATAATTTATAAAGATGGAATTATAAACGTGAGTATTTGATTCTGAACTTCTTCTCACAGTAAATTATACAGTATATCCCTTGACAGATCCAATTTCTTCTATGAGAGTCAGTTAATGTAGAAAGATGGACCACACCATTAGATAACTCACCTCACCTCATCGTCCGCCATGTTGGTCTGTGATTCTTACGGTCTTGGCCTGAAACAAAACACTACACTTTCAGACTAAATAAAGTTTTATGACAATATGTGATTCATTATATAAATAATATTTTGGAAGTTACTTGTTGCAATGTAATATGCGGTCTTAGCATGAAGTGCATAGTGAGAGCGCATTATGGGCTGATCGAGTCCATTCGATTAAAATCGAGAACCACTGATCGGATTTGGATGAAATTTGAGTTGGAGTTGTTTCCATTCTGCACGACCTCAAAATCGTACTTTTAATGACGATAAGAGCGGTGATAACAAAATGACGATGAGGAAATTAGTGAGTAGACACAGGTACTGCGGTCTGGAGGTCAAAATATGAACTATCGAAAAAAGTGGCTTTAATAACTCTAATTGCACGTTGGAAATAACGCACGAGGATATTATGTGTTTTAATGTATAGAATGTGCTAACCGAGTATGTTGAACTATGGTTATATTGAATTCATAATGAAGTGCAGAAGATGGGTTTTACAAGGTAT